TACAATATAAACTACACAACACTTTTTCCTTAACTATAATTTAATCATTTTTCAATAAAGGTAGTTGGTTATATAACAAATGAGAAATGATAATTCAATTATTCTATCAATTCTTGTTTAATATAAGTTGGAAGAAGGGAGAAATAGGCAGTCCTCCTTTCTTATAATCTCTATTTAATATTTTATAATTTTTACAATTTAACAACATTGTAATTTCATCAACCAAATATGAAATATGTTGTGTCCTCGTAGTAACATACCACGAGGTGATTGTGCCTATTTTTTTTCTTTGAGGAAGAGAAAAATTTATTAAGATTTACTTTCTCTGGCAATAATGATGTACATTATTAATTTGGTGTATAAATATGTATCTTCATTTTGAATATTTACTTCAAAAGACTCAATTATGCATTTAAATTTTAAGCATTTTATAATGAAAAACAAGTATGACTACTTGTTCATACCAAAATCTATTTGTTTTAAAATACGTCTTTTTAACTAGTTAAAAACTTGATCGGATTAGTGATTTACCAAAATTTGAATCCATGAAGAGCAAGTACATACTAGATCTTTCCTTCCCTCTTCAATTATTGATTAATTTTGTTTTTCTTTTCTAATATTTTTGTTCATTGGATTTGTTATATACTCCATTGGTACGTGCACTGGAGGAGTCCTGAGAAAAAGTTATAAATTCTTGATTACTTGCAATTAAGCTTCATATTTTGATATGAACTTCTTCATGAACAATTAATTTGTGAAAATTGTGTATATGAAGTCAATACAACGCTTGCATTCAACTTAAAACCTATTAACAATAGATGAAATAGCCTTTTTTATATTTAATCCACAAGTTTCTTTTTTATGCACTTAATATGAGATTTTTCCACTCAACATAATTAATATCATTTTGCTCATTTGTTTTATGTAAAAACATATACAGAGGAAAACAAGCTCAATAAATTTGACGAGTTTGGAACGAAACAGCATATGGAGACTTGCGATGCATGGAAGAGACTCAAGACTAGAATTACTGCATAGAATAACCGTGACACACCAATAGCTTAACGATTAGATTTATTGGCAAAGGATTTCATCTTATAAACAAGATTCAAGATTAATTTTTTTACATGTACCAAGTTGATATGTGAATGCACGTTTAAAATTATATGAAAAATAATTAATTTTGAGATATATGAAAACTAACTTGAAAAGAGTTTGATAATATATATATATACGTCAGAATCCTATGTTATAGTCTGCTCTGTAGCGGACTGTAACATCAAGACCCTTGATAGGGGGAGGGGAGGGCCCAATATCAGAGGGCCCTCCCCCTTTGAATGGTGATGATGGTTACAGTCTATTACAGGACGGACTGTAACACAGTTTTTTTGTATATACATATATATATATATAACAATGATACGAATGATATTTGAATTAACTAAATGCATCATCTAGAATTATTAGGATTAAAAGTATCCATAATTAAGTTGTTAAGTGAGAAATCAAGGGATGTATCAACAAAATAGAAGCTGAAAATGCTTTCTTTAGTAATAACTAATAAGAGACTTTATCTATTTATTTCTACTGAATCTATTTTTTGCAATAGCTGTTAGGGTTGTTTAGAGATCAGACCAAACGCTTATGTGGTACTCCTATCTGAATAGATACAAGAAAGGGAATTAAAAATGTAACAACATCAAGCCTTAAATTTATCACAATCATAAATTAAGCCAATGAGCCCTTGGCATGGTTAAAATAAGTGGAAAGTTTGTGCTATTGTAACTAACATGATTATCAAATGAGAAATGATAACTTCCTTTGCTTTGACAGTTTAAACTTTTTGTTCTATTTGAGAACCTCCG